TTCAAAGCTTGATTACTCCACGACGAAGAGGATGCCGAAATCAAGTGATACGTGTTCGGAAAGCTCTCGACGAGACGGTTCCGATGCCACCATTTTCGGCACCGCCACTGCTTTTCCTGCCGAGAAATCGAGCTTCGAAAATCGGTCCAATGTGATATCTTATGCAAGCGGCAATACAACCTTCAGCCATGAATCCGCCGGTTGGCTGGACATCAGCGCCCATAGTCCTGTATAGCAGTATGAACGCAGACGGTACGTGCTGTTGTATTCATGCAGCAGACTACGCTGTATCGGTGTTATCCGTTAGGTACCGTAATTGTGCGTGTTATGGCACCCATCGTTGATTTCGCACCCATCGGTGTTACGGCACCGGGGTGCGCAAAAATATCGAGAACGGCATGATTCAATATCAACGATATAAACCCTGCTTAGGACGTAAAATTGCGTGCTTCCGTAACGTACCGGGACCTCCGGCCACGCGTCGAACTGTATGTAACGATCGGCTGAGAGGGTTCGGTACTGTAGGTACAAATTGTTGCGCCATTCCTTTCATGTGTGCATATCGTACCGTCGAGGTGTACGGAATATATGATTCATGTTTATTTGTACGGTAATCCGTCCGTCGAATGCACTCACTCACTCAACTAACCACACAGAACCCACCCCGCACCTCCAACCTACCAAACAAGAAGGTACTACACTTGTACCGGTACCATGCCCCTTGAGGCAGACAACGACAGATAGGAAACACCAGCCAACAAATGAGGGACTTGCGACCAACAAAGAGGTTGGAAGAAAAACGATGCCGTACCGTATACCTTTCCCAGCGGGGAGCTACAGCGTCTGTTGTCTTTGGCACATGCTACCCCAACCTCGCATCAGGCGCTTCACTTTGTTTTCAAGTACTGTAACACGCACAATTACGGTACTCGTACAAGAAACGCCTGTGTTCGCTTCTTCAGTATCGCACCTATTGGTGTCATCGCACCGGGGTGCGTTCACTCAGCACCGTAAAATGGCCACTGTGATTTCTTCCGTATCGCACCCATCGGTGTCATGGCGCCGGGGGTGCGTTGGAAATCTAGGAACGAAGTTGTTTACATGCATTCATGCACCGGTATCGGTTATGGCACCCATCGGTGTTATGGCACTGGGATGCGATAACAAACCAAGATATGAATGATTCAAGAAACGATCGCACCTCGGTGCCATAACACGCACAATTACGGTATATCGATAGTTGAGGGTTTGAAATACTATTTGATCGTATTACGCAGCGCCTAAGCCTTGCGGGGCCAACAGATACCAAATGAACGGAACGCGAATCAGTGTGTGAGGTTCCAGGACTGACGACGTGCACGCAAGTTGTGCTCCTTCAGCCTCACTACATGCCCTGCTGTTCAGCCTCATTACTTGCTGTTGCCACAAGGACCCCCGCAGAAAGAAACGAAGACACTCAATACACCAGATATGTGTTTGAAGGTAGACAGTGCTTTGTAGAGAACCTTACTCAACCAAGAAACGAAACACAGTGCCCTCTTTCCCTCGCTCGATAGAGCCGGACAAAAGTGCCGCATGCAGGAAACCAACCTCAATCCTTGTAGCTGCGCTCGGGCAATGACGGCACCGTACGGAATAAAGACAGAAAACCAGCAGGAAAAAAAGTTTGTAGCATACTCCGTGAAGCCATATTTTCCCGGCCATCTGTGGGTATCACGGCCTGCTGCGTAGTGGTCTCTCTTCATCAGGTACAGTTAACGTTACACGCAGGCTGGTGCGTATCTCAAAAGATGTCTGCAGTAGCATGTGCACTCCTATTGTGTGTGTGCTCCTGGGTACGTGTGTGCGTGTGTGTAGCCTGAACCGGCACAACAGGGGGTATACAATTCCCCATACCGACGCTACTGACAGATAGGTCCGGCACTTACCAAGAGCTTTGGCTGTGCCCGACACATTTTACCAGCACTATTCAAACGGCACTACTGCGAGCCTAGTAATGTATACCAGGCACATCTTTGAAGTTCGGCAATATGAGTCTGATATACACCGTCAACTTACGGTAAAACCACGAATCATTGCACGCCCGTGCGAGGATTTTCTAAGTCACTTGTTTCTTGACTTTTACCCCTGTGCGATGACTCCGATACGTGCAATGACTCCGATATCCGCGTGGACGTCGACCATAATTTTTTGGTTCTTGCTCTTTTACCGCACCCCCGTGCGATGACTGGACGTGAAAAAGGCATACGATACCGTATGGAGAAATGGGCTGTGGAAACAATTATCCAAGTACGGGATCAAGGGGAAAATGTGGAGAATGCTGAAGAAGATGACAGAGTGTACGAAAAGCGCGGTCATGCTAGACGGAGAACTTTCTAAATTCTTCGACATTGAGCAAGGGGTCCCACAAGGTTGCACGCTGTCCCCAACATTGTTCCAGGTGTTCATCAACGATCTGTTGGAAGTCGTAGAGGCAGTCCGGAAGGGAGTAAAAGTAGGGGACACGGAAACGTTGGTGTCAGGAATGCTGTTTGCGGATGATTTTGTTGGTATGTCGGACACCCCTGAGGGACTGCAACTGCAAATTGACGCGGCGAAGAAGTTTACTGATAAGTGGAGATTGTCTGCCAACGTTACGAAGAGTGCCGTCATGGTATGCAATGAGGGCAGGGAGGAACCAGTAGAACATAGATGGAAGTGGGGGATCGAGGAGATTGCAGTAGTGGACCAGTACACATACCTCGGAGTAGAGATCGCAAAAGATTGCTCGTGGAATGCACACATGTCCAAGGTAGCGGAAAAGGGCAAAGCACGAGCAGGGAAGCTGCACCCAATACTCGCAAACCGGCACCTTGATACACGCATCAAATTGACGGTGTTGAAGAGCGTAATCGTACCGCCGCTAGAGTACGCCGGAGAAGTATGGGAAGGAAATAAGAAGGTAGTGAAAGAACTCGAGGCGGCGCAGATGAAAGCAGCGAAAATCATCCTAGGATGCTCCAAGCGCACAAGTAATGCAGCAGTCAGGGCAGAATTGGGGATCCAATCCCTACGGTCGGGAAGAGACGTTAGGAAGCTGACATGGCAGTATCGCATGTGCGGGATGGGAGAGGAGAGGTTGCCAAGAATAGTATGGGAGGCGAAGTGGGCAAACAAAAAGAGGGGTAGACAACCCACGGAATGGGTCAAGGTTGTAGAGGACGTATGGAAGGGATTGGACATCGACGAAGATGAAACGCTGGAAACGGAGGGTCTACAGGGGTTCAAGAAGAAGATATATGTTGCTTGTGCCGACAGAGAAGAACAGAATCTAAGGAAAGAATCCAAGGATAAGGAGGGTCTAGAAGTGTACGGAATGTTGAAAGAAGGAATAGGGTTCAAGGATTACCTACATGGACCAATGGGTGCAGGGACAAGCTTAAGGTCAAATTCAGGACCGGGGACATAGGCCTTCGCGAACGTCGACGAAGACATAGGACGGTAGACGACGAAGACGATAAGTTCAAATGCGATTGCGGCTTCGAATGCGAAGACAGTGTTCATGTAGTCGCGGAATGTCCGTGGTACGCAAAGGAGAGGGAAGTGTACATGACTGAGCTGGGAAGAATACAAGTGACATACAGGGAGATGTTTGAGGCATGGAATAGAGAGGAGAGGACGGTAGCGGTACTGGGGAGTAGAAAGTGGTTTGAAAAGGCGGGAAGGGACATCGGTAGGATAGACAAACTAGGGAAGACATTTTTGAGCCACCTTTGGCAAAGTAGGAAGGAACGATTGGCCATCGGTGATCGGTCCTGTGGGAACAATGCTCCGTCCTCTCGAGGACGCGTGGTCAATGGTCTAACCGCTAAGGCATGCAAAACATAAGAGTACGCCCTCCCCGTGCGATGACTCCCATACGTGCGATAGTCGACACATCACAGCAG